TACTAATACTCTGATTTGTACTGACCCGGATTCAAATCAATTGACCATTTAATATTACAAAATTTTTTTCCTAATAGATTAATATAAACTCACATAACATCTCCACATAATATACTCTCTTTTATACAATATATCCAGAGATATAAATCAAAATTCGATCATGCAGTATGTAAAATACCCAGGTATTTTCCATTGCATTTTATATGCCCAGAACATTTCCGTTCCTTATATATATTGTTCGCTAATTTATCATCTAAATTAGCTAATAAATATCTATATTGTTGTAAACTATTAGTCTGGTTTTAGTCAATTTCTTGACCTAAAATATGCTTTATAAAAAAATTGATTCTAACACTTTATTAATCGACCAGCCTAGTCCATATTACTAATATATGTTTATTATTTTTTAAACTACAGTATTTTGATAGAACTTACTTGCGGTAAATGACCGACACCATAGAACCGTTCTATTATGCCATTGGCCTTGTCAATTCATGATCTTCATGAAACTATAATAAAAAGGTTAGAGGCTGTTTATGGTAATCCATTACCTTCCAATATTAATATCCCATCAGACGAATGGATTCGTCTTCAATTTTGCTTTACAAATGCTACTACAATACAGGCAATGTATTATACTGGCCGATTTAAAGTAAATTTTAAAGTGCAAGGGAGAATGCTTCAAAAAAGTAGTGAAGACGCACATTATTGTGCAGCACTTTTTCGATACTTTAGAGAATTTTGTATCCGGTACCGTCAATGGGCTTGCTTAATTTCTGCGGATGATAAACATAAGATTCCTATTAGAGAAGATGTTGCAGTTTCTACAGGTGTGCGAAATCGATGCTAAATAGTTGCACAAGGAAGCACTTTGGCTGCTGCTGATCATGATTTCTCAAAACTATCTCTAACACCGTCAGTAGTTTTTTTAATTTCTATTCCTAATGATATTTCTGGATTATTTTATGATGGTCAGGTGTATATATCGTACAAAGATACAATTTTTGAACCGAGTACTGCTATTAGACATTCGACTGAATTTTTAAATGTGCTAAAACTTTAATATTTATATCAAGAAATGCCACCAATTTTATATCTTTATATTGATAGGGTCCAGATTATCGTTGTAATTATGGTTCAGTACAAATTGCATTGATAAGTCTTTTTCTTTGTGGAGATTTTGATCTGCTTGTTGCAGTTCGCACAGCTCCTAATCATAGTTGGACAAATCCCGCAGAGCGAATCATGAGTATTTTAAATTTGGGTCTTCAAGGTGTAGCGCTCAAGCATGACTTAATGAGTTCAGAATCTGAAAATTTATTTGGAATGGTAAATACACTAGGTGACATTCATAAAAAAGCTGAAAGATCTAATAAATTAGAATCAGAATTAAAAGAATGCATCACGGGCATTCAAGAAATATTAAAAAATCGAACTGTACGACTTAGATTAAAAAACAATAAATTTAAATGCCATTCCCCGGCAAGTCAAGAAGAGATTACTGAAGTATTTGAGGTAAATATTTAACTTTTTTCATATTTATTATTTCATATTATGAGATGTGCTAAAAATCGAAATCAATAAATTAAAAGTTATTAATTATTTAAAACTAATTTTAATTTGCACTATTAAAATAATTATTTTTTGAACAGTCAATGTTTTGTATAGACCTGACTTTAAAAATTGAAGAAACCACACAGGTACAAATATGCAATCATCCAACATTAGTAGAATTCATAAAAACTCATTATCAAACACGTGCTTATAGTTTTCAGGCATATAAATTTTCAATATTATACAGTTTAAGCCTATTTTAAATTTTAATAATACTGATTAAAATAAAAATGTTATTTTTTCTAAAGATAAAAAAATGCTATGATACTTCGTGCTTATATTGTAAGCCAATTCGTTTTCCACAACTTGAATTTGATAATTTAAGTTTTTTCCCAGACCCAATCCCTTCAAAAGGTAGATTATCTAATTTTTTTGATGTATATACTGTAATTAAAGATGGGTAAAATGCATTATGCATGATGCGCATAACATACATCCAAGTTTTACATTTTGTCAATTCACTATTACAGTATTAGTGATTATCATGATGCTATTTTAAGTAGTATAAGCACTTAAGTGCATGCATATAGTTGCTATCGAAACTATTTTGGACGATGAATAGCATTTACATATGATTAAAACTAGATAAGATCAGGTTAAAACTATATCAATATGTGATGCTAATTATCACCTTGTTTGGGCTGTCCCAAATAGTTTGGATGGCATACATGATTGCATGCATGCATGGCATAATGTCGCAGTTGCCCATCTCTAACTTAATTATTCATATAATAATAATAATTTAAAACTAGAAAATACAGACCATTATGCAAGCTTTCAACATGTTTATAGAACTAAGACTACTGAAGAGCATAGGCCAACATATATATAGTTGCAGGCAAAATCTGAGTCTATTCCGAAATATATTCTTGTTGCAGAAAAAATTCACGATTATATTAGTTGTGAAAATTGTAGAAAACGTCGCTGTGTATATAGTAACAAATCTTTAACCGATGATAAACAAAATGATTATCAGCAGGTACTGGAATCATATTCATACTCATGTGGTGCACCAATTTTCCCCAACGATCATTATTTGAAAGAAGTGATATTTGTGCGTTTGCAAATTAATTGTGATTCACTGATCGAAATACTCTATTATTCAAGCCGCAAAGTAGGAAATTATTCAATTTGTTATCATTGTGGAAATAGCAATAATTTAATCCCTTCACCTCAATCTTTGAAGGAACGTTTCAAACAAATTTATCCATTATGCGAAATTTGTCAGGAAAGTAGGAGTAATTTTTATATAAAAGGGTGGTTAAGACTAATAATAAATCCTCAAAGCATTCTAAAAAATAAAATAAGTCATTTTAGGTTAAGATATAACGTTATAGAGCATTAAGATTAGTATTAGACTGATTTAAAGTCACGGTTAGACTAGAATATATTATTCGATATAAATGTTTGAAAGTAAAGAAGGGTTGGCACTGTATATAGTGCTTATTCTAAAGTTATCAATCTAGCAGAAGAGTAGAATAATTAGATATGTTGGTGTAATTAAAATCAACTATTTTTTTTGTCTTTTTTTTTTAATCATGTTTATTTAAGGCAGATACGAAGGCTCTTTATTGTTATCTCAGTAATAATAAAAAATATATATATATTGGGTTCTGCAAATGCCAAACTCTAATAAAGACTCACTGTATTCACCTGAAATAAAGATAACGCACATTCGAGTTCTAAACTATGAAGAGATAATAGTAGTAGTTCCTTTGTTATAAATTCGCTGGTTGTATCCTGTTCGTTGTATTTTTCTTGTCTCTATTTTGTATTATTCGTATTTTCGTATAAGCAAAAATCAAAAGAAAGAGTTAAGAATTAGTGATCAGTGCACTTATATAGTAAAAACGAAATTGATTAACTTCTGATTAAGCTTACTGTTAAAATGTTTACGTAACCCATAAGAAATAATATTCATGAGCACGTGATATCATAAACCAAATTCACGATCAGGAAGCTGATGTAACGGGGTCAACGTGATCTGATCGCAAAAAATGTGACCCAAGCCAAAAGTGAAAAATGCTAATTCGGGTTTGACTTGAGGCGAAGCTCTATTGAAGAATAATAGTAAGACGCCTCTGATGTTCGAGTTGTGCAAACTAAAGCCATAGCCATGTACATGAGTATGAATTACTCATTATTAGTCATAGAATTCCCCTCCTGATACTTTTATTAGCATATTGCTTGTTAGATCTTAATCGTAATAGCAAAGCCCAGAATGTATATAAAGGCCTTGCTTTCATGTAATTTTGAAATAGATAGATAGATATAAATAAGAATCATATTAATAAAGACTATCGAATGATAGTCCCAAGGATTTTAGTGGTAGTAGAATGCTTAGTTCTCAGATCAAATTTATCACAAATCTGTCTTTTATACTGAGCTGCACCTTTTAATAGAGAAAATAAGCAATATCTTGTGTTAGCATCCAAAAGCAAGATAATAAATCTTAGTAGGGAAAGAACTCTGGCACCTATAACCAAGAATACTTAGCTTTAGTACTTACGACTGCTGAAGGAAATATTAAGCTCCTATTCTTAGACCGAATTATTCACTTAAAAGCTAAATTTTATAAGCTTCATTAACTAAAATTACTATAATAAATATTTTATATAATTAGAAATTTACAAAGTACAGTACAGTTAATAAAACCAAGATAAAAATTTTAAAGTCATGTTTTGATTTATGTAAATTACTGTGACTTCTAATTTATATATTAGATTAATAGCCAATAAGATCGCAAAATCTATATCACATGATATATATCTATGTATTTTTTTTTAGCCCTCCCCCCACCATCCTAGTGGCTACTAATTTTATGTTAAACAGAAAATTAAATTGGTGTGGCCTTAATAAAAAAAAAAAAAAAAAAAAAAAAAAAAAAAAAGAGTTATATATAAAAATTAAAATTTGCAAGTTTATATTAAGAGCAGTATCATTTATCATCTGTTTTTTTTTTTATTAGAAGCTTACCCTTCTTATTATATATTTTGATTAGGTCTTTATACATAATTTTAAATTTTTATCTTTCTTTCTCACTAAAAATCACTTGATTTTTGTTAAGTCTCTAACTATACGTAAGATTAAAATTTAGTATAATTTTTATATATCTATCTGAATCTGTATTGCTGTACAGTACTACTTTTTTAAATATCTGATTCAAACAAATATTCAAAAATGATACTAAATTTTAATCATATGTATAGTTAATATATATTTGTAAATTTTAATTTTTATATATAACCCTTTTTTATAAATTAGTACTAATATAGTCTTTTTTTAGATTAGGTTAGCAGAAAAATTAACATTAATTTGACAAATTTTTCTTTATAAACTGTATATACTATTATGAATTCGTCACATTCACGTTTTTGTATTGTACTACTTTACTACATCTTCTTGGTACTTAGTTGATCATATATCTCAATAAAATTAACTGATTTTATTATATATCACAGACTATAATGAAATCGGTTAAAATGAAATATGAGATTTTATTTAACTCTCTTATATTTGTTTAATATAAACTTTATAACCTCTAATCTTAACTCTAACCCTAAAGAATATATCTAACTATCAGGTTTTTTATACTATATATATTTCACTTTAATTATATTTATTTCATATTTATTTATTTTTTTTTGTTATTAAGGTGACCTCTTGGTCATCTCCTTTTATTTGATTATTGTTAACTTTTACAATATAGTGTACCAAATCGTACATATATTTAGAAAGTACAACTAGCCACATATGCAACTTTTAATTGCCTATTTAAGTAAATACCTAGAAGGTTCTACACTAGCTGCTGTACTTATAACCTTACTGAGTTATCTATTTAAACCCTCTGTGCCTATATACATTAATTATCTAATTGAGCAAGAATATAGTAGGCTAGTGGTGGCAGAAAAATTGCACTATCATGTGACCGAAGATAATTTCCGACCTAGTATAATAGGATCTCCGGACCTGTAAAATTGAATATTTTTAAAACTTTGAACAATGATATCTCTA